GCAGGGGCAGGGCAGCTGGGCCATCCCAGCAGGGATCCCACCACCTGCGGGCCACATGCCTTGACAGTTCCCCCCGTGGCTGTGCTGCAGCCTGTCCTGCCGTGGGCACAGAGCGCGACTGGGCGCTGCCATCTCTGCAGCAGCCCTTCGTGCACGCCTGCCCAGGACCCCGGCGGCTGCCACGCACCTTGTCCAGCGTCAGCATGTAGAAGTTGGTGATGTCATGCTCCTGGGCGTAGCGGATGCGGGCACGACACTCCTCCTCGTCAATCAGCTCCCCCACATACTCGTTGACAAACTCACCCTGCATGGAGAGCAGCAGGCAGTCGCTCAGCAGGGGCTGCCCCATGCCGGCGCCCTGGTTGGGGGGGTAGAGACCCCCGTGGCATCCCCCCACAGTGAGGGCAGGGCAGGATGCTGCTGTTCGCAAGGCTGCTGCTCCAAGCCAGAGCCGCAGTGCAGCGGGGTGCCTGGCTGCAGCCTCAGTGCAGACGAGAGCCCAGTGCCGCCGAGGGGCCGGTTCTCTGCACTTCCGCGGGGACAGCGAAGCCACAGCCTCTCCCAGCCAGAGCAATGCCTCCCTGCCGCTCGGGAAGGAATGGGGCCAGGTCCCGAGTGCTGCCACCCCCTTGCTCGAGGGGGCCAGCGGGGCCAGTACCTTGCGGATGTCCGTCTTGGCCTGCAGGCCCCAGCCGCGGGCCAGCGTGCGGAAGATCTGCACCTCGGGGTACTGCCGCTTGGAGAAGCACTGGTTCTGGCAGCGCTCGCCGGCCGGGCACACCAGCGGGTGGCACTCGTACAGCAGCATGCGGTTGATGCACTCCGAGTCCAGCCCGCAGGGGTTCTCGTCCGTGGGCTTGCAGTTGCAGCGCGGGACCTCGGACAGGTCAGCCGTGAAGATCTGCACCTTGCCCACGGGCCGGTTCACCTGGGGCACAGGTAGGCGCACAGGTCGGAAAGTGGCTGCGCAGCAGCTCCAGGCTTCAATAGCTCCACCGGGCAGGCAGCTCGACAGGGGCAGCGGCCCGACCTGTGCACACACTCGGGGCTTGCAGCCAGCCCCTGCGGAGACCCCGGGCAGGCACCCCCAGCGGTCCCTGGCCGCCCACTCATCGGATCGAAGCACCCAGGGGCCTGCAGCCCCAGCGCTGCACCCTCCCACCCACCCACCCCGCTCTTCCTGGGGGCTGCTCCCCGCCCTCACACCATCAGCTCCCGAGGACTTGGGCTTCCCGTGCCCAATGCGCGGAGGCCCCAGGCCTGGAGAGCCAGCTGCTGGAGCAGGCTCAACCCCTGTCATTTGCACAGCCAGGAAAGCCTGGCCCTGCCACCCCCTGCCAAGGGACCCCACGTTTGGGCTCCTGCACAGACCCCTGCGTCCCCGGGCTGACAGCATTGCCCAGTGACGCGGGAGGGAGGAAGAAGTCCCCGTGGGCCGGGGCCGGGTGCTGGCCAGCTTCCCTTGCAGGGGTCGCCCCTGCCTGGCCCTGCCCCGAACTGGCTGCCAGTGCTGTCCTGGCTAATGGAGCCTGTGGGGCTCGAACCTCCTGGAGCCCCTGACGGAGCAGCTGCGTGAAGGCAGGAGGAAGCAAGCAGGGGCGAAGCTGAGGCAGGGCTCGGATGCATCTGGGGCCTGAGACACCGTGTTCCCCATCCCTGAGGTCGTCCCCCACCAAGCACCAGCTGGCCCAGGAGCTGCTGGGCTCCAGCTCCATGCCTCAGGGTCCCCAGCCAAGAGGGGCCCGCTTAGCCTGAAGCCCCCTCCCGCATTGCCCTCTCCTGTGCTTTGCCTGTGTGGGGGTCACAGCCCCACACAGCAGAGTGCAGAGGCTCCGTAGCAGCCACAAAGCTGATGCACAGGGGCTGTCCGCATGCTCCTTTCTGCTCCCCGAGGCTGCAATACCCCAGCACCTGCAACTTCTGCTCCGGGGCCTCAGAGCCGTACAGCACTGCGCTCTCCCTGGCCAACCCACGTGGCAGGAGCCACCTGCACAGCAGAGCACCCCCATCCCCGGGCTGCCAGCCAGGCCAGCGCACCCTCGGCCAGGAGGTGCACCCCCACCTTGATGTGCTTGTAGGGAGGAGGCTTCTTGTCATTCTTCTTGTCTTCCTGCAGCTGCCTCAGCTCCTTCTGCGCCTTCAGCTCCTCGAACCGCGCGGCTGCCTCCTGCAGAGCTGGGCAGAGCAGCGGCTGCATCACTTGGAGCTCCAGCACCCGCGCAACACCTGCACCCCAGCCCCACAGGGAGCTGCCCAACAGCCCCTTCCCAGGGGTCTTGCTTGC